TGCTTTTAGTCAATCTAAAAGTAATTCGCGAAAAACACGGCAAACCATTAAGGAACTTACTTCCCGTCGCACCAACAATAAACCAGTAAAAGAATTGAGGTTGAATGGCTCCATTATTTCTAATTCTAGTGAGCTTTCTAATGCTTTTAATGACCATTTTTCAACAATTGAGCCCCGCCTTGCCAATGAAATTCTTCCAAATAATAATAATAATAATTTAAGGTGTTTCGATACAGTTTTTCAGAGGCCATACCGATATTTTTCAATCGCCTTAAAAGTGTTTTATTCCTTGTCCGATCGTAATAAGTTATGGATTGCAATTTGTGAAAATGTAGTTTTAAGTAAAATCGATATTACTATGACAACAACAAACAAAAACCTTTGAAACTGATAAAAGCCGAAATTTGTGTGATCTAGCTAGACCAGCTAGTGAAAACCCAACACTAGGAACTTAAAGTACGGTGTTTAGCAAATAATCTCCGAAAGAAGAAAAAAAATGCTGTTTGTTTGAATTCGACTGAAACGAACATTTCGACCTTCAATTTTCAATAGCCGTGATAGATCATTTAATAAAACCGTTATGAATGACTCAAACTATTATTAAGTAGCGTGAGAATGCTGATTAATATCATGTTTTACTGCTAGGAAATTTTGGTGTATTTTCGTTCTTGGGATCATGCAAACTAAGCCGTTTTCCACCACCTGTATAAGTGCAATTCAACTTCATTCAAAATTTGGACTTTTAGTATTTTAAATACTTTTAAATAGGGTACTTTAACAGTGTTTTGAGTTGTATCTAAAATGTATTTTGAGACGCATCTACTCACAAAGTTACAAACAGAGTTCAAATAGGCTATTTGAAATATGTTTTAAAACCTTAAGTACTGACTGCATTTTAAATACTTTTAAATAGGGTACTTAAACACTGTTTTGAGGTCTATTTGAATTGTATTTTGGGCACATAACATTCTGACTATAAAAACAGATTGTCCATAAGCTATTTGAAGTCTGCTTAAATACATCAAATGCTGACCTTATTTTAAATACTTTAAAGTAGGGTACTTGTAACTTATTATTACTGAGGTGCAGTATTGTAATGTCTTTTGGGATGCTTATACTCAGACTATAAAATAAGCAATT